GCTGAAATAGATTGAGCTCTGTGGTTACAGCAGTATAATGAGGAAGAGAATATGACTCCCTGCTAAGACACTTTGCTGGATGAGGCACTTTTTGTGCAATAGCCACTGCTCAGTGTGACAAGTGTCGGAGTAGGAAAGGAGGTTGGCTCTCTAAGAAACGACATCTAATATTAATATACCAGCATTGTTCTTTCAAATGTTGATAACATTTCTCTATGATAAAATAAAACATGCAACCAAAGAGCATCAAACAGGAAAAGACTTGTGGAGAATATTAGTAGGCTAATAAAACCATCTTAGCCCAGTGTGAAAACATAGGAGATTTACCAATATACGTGCACACTGGAAACTTAAAGCAGGTCTTCAAACTGCAGTCTGAGTGGCTCGTGGAGCACTTGGTGTTGCTTGTAGTAAGCTACCTGCTCAGGTAGGGTCACTTTGCTCTCAAGGAACTGAAGAAGTTCTGCTGAACCTCAGGAACCTGTCATTATGTGGTGGTTTTCCTGATGTCCCTGAAACTGTGACCATGGTACTCCATGGTTGTAGAGAGAGAAAAGCTTGAAGGTGTGGCTCAAGCACACAGTAAAGACTAACAAATCACAAATAAATAAGACTTAAATATACATATAACTCTCAAAGCCTGTCTCATTATTGCTTTGTCTTGGACTCAGCGTTTGTCCATGTTTGGGTTGATAATTCTGATAAATAATGTATTGATTTGCTTTAGGCATGTTTTGTTCTCTGAGGTAAGGAGGTAAGCAAGAACTTGTGAATATGGAAAGGGGACTTTGTAAAATCAGTTGGGAGAAAAAGGTACTTAGATGCAGCACTGAATGTCTCATGATTTAGAAAGACGAATCCTAAGAGGGCTTCTCAGAGACAAACTCTCCTACCACAGCCTAGTATGGCTGGTTACATGAACAACCCCTGCCATGCTCTCTCCTTCTCCTCCCCACAATGCAGGGAGTCTTGCAGGCTGCAAGAAGAAGAATGGGTGGTGGTTGATGGAGTCGTGTTTCTCTTAACAGTACTTCAGGAAGCACTGAAAGGACAAATGTCTCTTGGGGTGGGATGTGGGAAGAAGAGAGACCATGAGACTCCATACTTTGTCTTGTGGAGTCATCTACTGCTACTAGTTTTGCTTCTCATGTAGCAAGGGCACTGGTACCCTAAGTCTTCTCTGATCCTGTGGGGAACAGTTATAGCAATGTCCATCACACAAGGGCTATATGTGGGCTATCCCTAAAATGCTCCAAAATTTTTCTAGAGTGTAAGGGAACAAGGTTTTATGGATAGTTTTAGGAAAAAGTTGTTAAGGCTTCTTTTAGTGTCTACCTTGGAAAATATTGGAGTGGAACTCTCCTCCAGATTGGAAAACCTGCACCATTAGAGGAATGGCACTTAAAGTGCCTCTTTGGTAGCTCATGTGGATGGTTCTGTCCCGCACAACAGAGGTGTTGCCAAGCAGCAGATTTCCCCTTGGCACTACATTCCCAAGCTCCAGACTGAGCCTGTGCATCCAAGCAGAAACAGGCTGCAGCCCTGACAGCCTCAGACTAGTTCCCATAGAAGCTTTTCACCTTGCAGCTGCCCAGCAAAAACAAAGACTTCATGTAGCTTTTGCTATAGCAATTGCTGGTGTGGGGACAGCCTGGCCTTGAGTGAGCAGTATCTGCTTCCATCCTGGCACAGTATGTCAGAAGTTTGACTGAACACAGCCAGTTTTCTTGGCAAGTGTTTTGGACAATCCAACAAAGTCCCCCAGAGCAACACTCAGCCCTGTCATAGTCTCGTGTTGAGGTACATTGCCAGTTTAGGGATGTCCTGACTTCTGTTTTCTGGACAGTCTCCATGAGATAAAGAACTGTGGGTCTTTGTTAAAATAACAAAATTCACAAGCTAAACAGCAGAGCAAGCACAGATTTTGTTCTGGGGAGTCCAGAGGTCTGATCAAGAAAGAAGAACTCATTCAAAGTTGCTGGGTGCCATGGTGCTCTGTGCTCTTTGCAGGCAGTTTTGAACTGTAGGGTGATGTTGTGGGCCTGCATCTCCTCCATTCTCAAAGCAGAAAACACAACAGCACAACATCCAAAAGTTGTTTCTAATTCACACTATTGCTGTGCTAGAAAAAATAAGAAGAGGGAAAATGGAGGAAGTGAGCGCTGCAGATGGTGTAATTAATGGAAAAGACTCCTTTAACAACCAGCCCTGTGCGATTCAAGGTGCTGCTTTTGGATGTTATTAGTGCACAGAGGCAGCAATTACCACAGAGGGTAAAATGAAATAATAGAAACATGTTTGGTTTCTTTGCTTCTATGTAAAGGCATGTATGAAGGCAAATGATGCAGTAACAATACTACTTTAGCATCAGCCACTCTAGGAGCATTGTATAGTAGAGTAGAGGATAGTACAGCACAGTACTGAATTAGAGAAAAGATGAGTTCTTTTGCCTATAGCACTGGATCTACTAGCATGAAATGCCACTATTCATAAACAAAAACAAAATCAGGCCATTTTGTGCTCATTAGTGGCAGCTCTTGGCACAAGCTGTGTGCTTCTGCTAGCCTAGGATTCCCAGAAGTAATTTTACAATCATTTTCATTTTGCAGGAAGAAGAACCCAGTTGCTTAAGGGCTTACCTGCAACCAGCAGTGTTGAAGAAAATGCAGCAGCTGGTGTTTCAGTTTATACTTTTAATGTAAATGTTTCTGAAGGTGTTGCAATACTTCCTACCATAGTATATTCAAATCCACTCACAGAGGCTTTTGATATTGAATCAAAAGGGAATTTTGAATACACGGTGAGTTTTATATTTAAGTTGAGCAATGTTCAGTCATGTAGGCTGATGTTTCCTGGATTACTGAGCACTGACTCATCCTTTAATCAGAAAAGAGTTGCAAATGCAAATTGTGGTAGCATTTGCACATGCTGTAATAGATATGACAAATGAGTAGCAATAGTGTTTATAGCGTTCATAATTTTTAATTGCATCTAGGCAAAAACCACCTATCACAATAATTCAATTTATTCAGTGTTAGAAAAATGTGATTTTTGGAAAATCAGAGATGAAAAAGGACATGTAAGACCTGCTTCTCTTTTGGGGATTTGTCCACAGTTTTTCAACTTCATTTATATTAAGTCACTGTGTGTTTAAAGTGACTTAGTTAACCACATGCAGCTTCTGCTTGGCCACCCTCACCTAGAATTAAAATGAATTTGACTCATGTCCAAAATAAAGTAAGCTCAGTCAGATCAAAGCCATATTTAATTCAGAACAAGGGCTGTGACACATGGGAAAATTATCTTCAGGTAAGAAACTATCACACTTCACACATCTGTGATCTACTTCTATCTATTGTGTGCTCTTGTCCTATGGCGAAAGGAAAACAATTTCTATTCCTTCAGGGTAGTTTTCATTGTTAGATAAATTAGCAAGTATTAGCTCACAATTGTCACTGGCAATGAGTGTTCAGATGCATGATAACTTGTCATCCCCTTGTAACTTGCTCTGATGTCTGAGCCTGAACACTGACACTGAAGTGTGTCTGTAACAGATCTGGGCAGACACCGAACAGAGACTTACAGAGTTAAGTTGAAAACCTTTTTCTGGGTGTTTCCAAGGAAGTTCAGGTTTTCACAGAACTGATACAAGGGCTCTTTTCTTGTTCTCTTTTCTGGTAGAAAAATATGGGGAAAGTGAGGACTGTGACCCCAGGGAGTCAATCGAATCTGCCTGGGGGAGCTGCTGTTGTTCCCATGCTCCCGCCTTGGCAAAATACAAAGCTCAGTTGAGCCAGTTTTGCTGGTTCTCTAGCTGCTCCCCAGCCAGATCAGTGAAATGGTCAAAAACCTCTCAAAAAAACTCTCTTTCACCTGTGAAGCATAGGACCTGGCTCAGCTGAGGGGACGTAACTAGCGGATGGAAATGGATAGGTCCCGGAGGCTGTCTTTGCTGACAGAGAATTCATAACGTGGGGCTTCCTTCCTAGTTTGTATTTTGGCATTTTGAATTGAAACTATCCCTTCTGCTGCAAAACATAACCCTTTTTTATACCTGCTTGATCCTGTCCCATGCCATCTGTATACTGTGCAGCACAAGCATTTTATGTTGCTGCTTGTTGAGCAGGACTGACAAAATCATTCAGAGAAAAAATAGCCCTGCAAATAGGTAAAGTCAGTCCTTGTTTTTTTTCATGGCAGGGATGATGAAGACATTCTTATTTTAGCTCAGTGCAGAGAGTGGCACAAGGCTAAAAATGAATGGCCAATAAAGGTACAGGCTCTGTCAGGAGTGTTGGACTCCATGATCTTCGGAGTTCCCTTCCAACCCCCAACATTCCGTGATTCTGTGACTCTGTGATTCATGCCACAGCCACATTACCAGAATGGCCTGTGAGGATTGAAACAAAGAGGTTGAGCCAGTGAGTATCTGTCATGAGAAAATTATAAAGAAAGCTACATGTGAATTCTGCAAAGTAGCAGTTGAGTGATAATTACAACTCATAAGGCAAAAATAAATGCACGTGAGTGTCCTTAGTTCATTTATTAGATGAGCATTGCTGCCTTTAATTATTTATGTGATGTAGCAGATTGGTACATTTTGCAGAAGAATATGATCCAAAATGAGAGACCTCAGTGCTACCTACTGCCATTAAATCTTTGCTAAGATATAGACAAAGTAAGTGTCTCGTATGAATTACGGGGTTTGCAGATTAGCTAAGTACCTATTAGCACAGGCTCTTCTATATTTATGAAGCACATTTATTCCTGTTGCAGCAAGCCAAGGCAATATTACATTTCTTGATATGCTTTGAGATTTCTGAGAAAGTCACAGTTTTTCTGGGATCTGAGCTCTGTCCATTCCTCCTTGTCTTATTATCATTTGAAGAATCCCAGGGGCAGAAGATGTGCTGAATGCACAAAAACATACTGCTTCCTAAAACCACCTTGATGCTGTTAGTGATGCACCTGCATCCATGGAGTGAAGAGGGGATAAGGGAGTAGTGAAGTTCTCAGTTGAAATGAGGGACTAGGCAGCTATGGGCTGCCTCTAGACCCTCTTTTGTGAAGTCTGCAGCTGCTTCAAAAGTGCACAGTGCTACCTGTATCAGTTAGTTTTGCTCCCACCTGGAGAAGAGGTGAACTGTGGCTCACAGCCTATGACTGTGGCAAGCTGTTATCAACACCAACCTACGAGGAGATCATCTAGATACACATCTTCACTTGCAAGGTCTCTACAAAGGCAGGTGGAAGAAGTGTATTTATACAGTCTGGCTGTAGTTACAGCACCAATGAAAATATTTGTCTGTGAAGTGAAGGTATAATCTCCAGAGCACATAATTTCTGATTGGAATTGAACAGTTTCTCATTTAGAATTCATTGCCTCTGTGTATTGTATTTAGATCTCCAGCAAAGATTCATTTCGGAGAACAATATTCCCTTTGGTGTTACAAGCGTTTACAATGTTCTTTCTACGTTAGCATAACTTGTATGGAAAACTTCTATTTGCACATTATATGAGAGAGGATACCATCCAGTACACAGTTGTTTTCTCCTATAGTGTTTTAAGAAAAAGATGAAAAAGTTTCCAGAAATAAGTTGTTTTACATACGAAAAATGTTTGTACTTCTGTTCACTCTCCTCCAACTGTCTTTGTTATTTGGGTTTATTTTTGCTTCTGTCTTCTAATTGTGCTGACATCACTTTTTCTTTTGTCCTCTGGCCACAGCATCTCATCTAAAATCAAGGTTTTATTTAATTGTTCTCCTTCAACATCCTCTCCAGGCTCCTGAACTCTGCAGAACTGTGAATACACTGATACACTCCTTGTCACACATGCTTTCAAGCCCCAATTCTTCTCCTTCTCCAGTCCCACAGCACGTCTGCTACAGGTGTTCAAGCTTCAAAGTTTTTTAGTTATGCAGCAAAATTAACAGTCACCTTTTCCTTTCTTTTCCAAGAAAGGAAAGTTCTTTGGTTTTTTTCTTAGTTTCAGCAGTGAATATCGTGGCATACAGCTTCCAGCATCCTACAGTTGCTCTGGACTCATCCTAAATCCAAAATGAATGTATTGAATATTTTTTCATGGAACATCAGTCTTGTGCTTGTAAATCAGAGTTGATGTGCCAAATTGGGAGTCCTTAAAAAAAGAAAAGAAACAAAACCAAACCCTAAGCAAATGTTTGCCTTACCAAGCTTTCAAAACTTAAGGGCTACATTATTTTTAATCAGTTCAGTGTTTTCACCGAACAGTTCTGGTCTCTCTCTCATTCAGTGTGCTCATGCAGCTCCCCCCTTTCCTGGTTTCCTGCAAATCTCCTCCCAGACACAGCTTATACAAGGAAGGGGCTGGTACTTGCAAGACTATTGCAGTTGCTTGCCCCCGCTCCTGCTACTGAAAGTAAAAGTTCTTCCCTCTCATGCTCCTGACTCGCAGAAATAGTGAAGCTGCCCTTGCATCTCACAGAGCTTCTTCCCAGTTTTCAGTGTCATCACCTCTCAACTGCTCCTGGAGCTTGGGGTGGAAAGGTGAGGACTTGACACAGACTAGTGCCTGCAAGATGTTGTCCTGGCCTTGAAGGCAAAGCTTTGCCTCTGAGGCAGGACAGCTCCTTCCAGGCTTTCTCTTCCTCAAACTGTCCCTCACACAAGAGGTCCTTGAGTTGCTCCATGGAGCCACAACAATTGATCTTTCCACTCTGTTTTTTTTTTCTCAGATTTCCACCACTGACAAGAAACGTGCCAGCAAATAAAAGATGATCTAAAATACTCTCGGCTTCCTGATGAAGAGTGTCCCTTTAACTGTGTTCACTCAAATGGACTACAACTTATATCTTTTGCATCATATGCTAATAAGAATTTTTCCTTTTCAGGTTGTTACCACTGGAAACCCTGTCCTAGATTATGAAACTATGCCAAAGAGCTTTGATTTACAGATTTTTGTTGAAGACACAGCTGGGAGAACTGACCTTAAAACACTCACTGTCCAAGTAAAAGACAAAAACGAACATCCTGTATTTCAAGGAAATATGGCCTTTCAAAGTAAGATAGTGGTGGTGTTTTAAAAGAATAATACTTGAAAAGATAAAAAAAACCCCTGTAGCTGCATACAGTGCCTGCAGCTAAAATGATCTAAGCATTTTCCATTAGGAAAACAAGGAGGGAACAGGACACTGGTTTTACCAGAGCTTTATTTTACTCAAGTATTTGGTATGCTTCATCTCTGGAAATGCCCTTTTATTTTGTTTAAGCTCTGGCCAAAAAGGAGTTAATAATTTTGAAGTAACTAACAAATTATAAGGAAAAAGAAAAGCTCTTATACCAATAAATATTTATGTTATTTTCTTGATGAGATTAATACCCACCTAGAGGTATGTATTAAGAATCAAAGTTTGGTGGGGACATAACTGTTTCATATGTGTCAGTAGTTTGTTGAAAACTGAGCTCATTTGGAGAAGCAAGATAAATTCAAATTAGTGTGCATTGTGTATGTGCAAGAATTTCTGAGGGAAAAGAAAAAAAAAATTGTTCTGCTGATATTTTATACCTGTATATTGCATTTGCACCTGCACATGAGAAATTAAGTAGAAAGTCAGTTTGATCTCAGAGATTGTGATCTATGATTTTGCAAATGTAAAGAGACAGAGAGCTCTGTCTCCTGAAGGGGCAAATGGCCTTAACCAGGTTTATTTTCAGTAAAGTGCAACAGGGAGGAGTAGGCAGTAGCCTTAGGAATGGGGATGGGGTGTCAGTGCAGGCTTTGCATGCCATACAGTGCCTAACACGAGTGACAGCACCATCAATAAAAAGGACAGAAAATCATAGTCTTACTCTCTGAGCAATCTTATCTTGTTTATTTACTAATGAGAGGAACTTGCAAAAATGGCACCATGAGGTGAATGAGTATAGTGATTTATTTGTTATGTGTGCACACACAGAGAGAACAGTCCAGGTAGTGCACAAAAATACGCTCTTCTTACTCCAAGAGGTCCTGACAACCTGCTTGAAGTCTCGACATTGTAACAGCGCTATATAGAAAAGCATTCAGTAACTCAACGTTCAACTGTGTTCCCTACCTGAAAATATCAAGCTGTGATCTCTTGATGGTAGGTGTTAGGAGCTGGCTGCTGAACACCCCCAGGTCTGGCCCAGCAGCAGCACCAGGGAGGCTGAGACTCCCAGCCCTTGGGGTGTGGCTGCAGCCTCGAGTTCTGCCTGCCCAGCCAGACCAGCTCTCATCCAGTTGCTTCACTGATGCCTCCAAAGCACACTGATGTTCCAGCTTCCATACAATACCTAGTTTGTGAAGCAAATTAGCTTCCCCTAGGGGTGGGGCTGTGTCATCCTCTCTGTATAGCTGGTGTCTTGCGTATCATGGGTGCTGCTGTAATCTAATAATAATTAAATATGACACTTCAGGGGATCGGCACAGCGTGAAGCACACTCTACGTGGGAGCTTGTTACAAATAAATGCATCAGCTTAACTCTCAGCTAGAGCTGCCATAAATGGGTGAGCACAGATGTCTGATCTATCTGTGTGGCTTTAGTTGACAGTACCAGCTACAATTAGACACTAATTGCCCATTCGCTGGTTATGAAAAAGCATCTCCCTCTCATTAAACTTTATATTCATATTGTTGTCCTCTGGGAACAACTCATTACTCTGCTCTGGGATTCCCACTGCTCTGATGAGAAGCAGCAGTCAGCAGGGGTCTCAGTGGAAATTAATAGTCCAGAAACAGCAGGTCCAGCAGACACAAAAGGGCAGAAAGCAAATAATGTGATCTAAAGATCTGTTGTTCTGTTAATCACTATACCCAAGGAGAGCTAAGCCTCTTGCCAGTGGCCTAGTACAGAATGGCTCAACTGCCAGAATTCCTGACATGGGAAGAAATACACCTTGCACTGAATTAGCACCCTCAGTAAGGCAAAATTTAAGTCAGAGCAGACCATCCACTATTTATTTACTTTGCAGGTGTAAAGAAAAAGCAGAAATTAAGAGAAAAGGCTCTGAGCTCTCTTGGCAGGGGACAGGGACTAGACAGGGAAGGGATGGCATAGAGCTATGTTCTCCCTATCTGCATAGTAAAGAAAGACACAGGTGTAGCCCAAATGCATTATTTTACTCCATACCCTGTAAGCAGCTCAAGACAGGCTGTATGTAAAGATCAGCCTTTCTCCTGAAGGCACCACTCATATAGCAGCTCTCAGTGATGTTTGCCTCTTTACAGATGTGCAATTGATTTATTTTTATCTTTTAAGTATATCATAGAATCATAGAATGTATTGGGTTGGAAGGGATCTATAAAGTATGTGCTCTTTGTGATGATTTTGGGATTACACTTGTGAAGTGGAAAGATGCAGCAGTCACTAATAGGTCTGGACAGCTTCATTGTATCAGTGTGTTTGCTGCCATGCCCTTTATTCTTACCCAATTAACACTGAGTGCACTTACATCTGTGCAGCTGTAACAATCTATGTCTTGGAAGGAACACCTGTGGGATGCATTTACCAAGTTGATGCAGCTGATCCTGAAAATGCTAAACTCAAAGTAAGTTTTTTAAAAGAAAAAAAACCCCAAAACCCAGGGATTATACAATCCCCCATATCTGAAATGCTAATTACCAGCATCTTTCACTAATTTCCTTCTGTATAATGAACACAGGAAAAGGTTTAATCAGGAAGAAAGAAGCATTTTCAATAATAAACTAAGAAAATTCAGATTTGGTATTTAGACAAATTGTATTTTGAGTTCTTTGCCCTCTAAAACTAAGGGAAATTGAAGGCAGAGTTTGATATATTCAATTAGACATATACTAGAAATTGTTTATTTTCTTTTTTTTAATGGCTTGCAAAACATTTCTTGTAGATGAGAATGACTAAAAGTAAGTAAAATTTTTAACCTTCCTTATTGCCATGTCAATTATTTTAAATGAGACAGTAAGGAAATAGTTTACAATGCAACTGCATTTAAGATTTTATGTAATCCCAGGACAAACTGTGACCTTCAGTTAAGAAAATGTATTAGCTGATCTGAAAATACTCTTGGTATCAGCCAAAATTTGTGGGAAGTATTAAGTCTGTTTGCAGACAGGGGAAAAGTAGCTGCACTTACTTAAGAATTGTTTTGTAGGTTTGCTTTATTGCCTTTGGCTTTATAAAAACCAGCACATTCAAGAACTGAACCCAAAGATGCTACTTCAATGTGTATCATTATTCAAGAGAGCAATTACCTTGAAGTCTGACCTCATACTTTGCCCAGTCCTGAGCTGGTGAGGAGGGAAGCAGAGGCCTGGGGTTTGGTTCTGCTTTGTTTCTGAAAGCAGTAGCAGTGAGTTCCACACACCTTCTAATGCCAGATGAAGCTCAGGCATAATAAGAAGGTGCAGTTATAGAAATGTTGGACAACAGGTAAAATAATGTTCTGGGGAGGGAATTTAGAAATGTCAACTGGCAAAAAAACCCCCAACTATTAAAAGAATTGTGACCACCTATGTGGTTTTTAAAAGGTAATTTCAATTAAATTTATCAATCACTGCAGGAGGTAAGTTTTTTTACTCAGTTCTCTATACCTTCTGTTTTTTTCCAAAGGTAATACAAGAACAGTTGCATCCCCTGGAAAAATCTGCTCAGTGGATTTTTCAGATCACTTGTGTGGGCCATGACCCTCTCATGTTGCATACCTCAGACTTCTCTGAGTATTATTAACACCTGCACTAGCAAAGGAAAAGTCCTTGAAGGCTTACTGGTGTTGGCCTGGCAGAGGCATGTGGATGATAGCTGGGCGAATGTGTTGGGCATGTGGCAGCTTCCCCACAGACATGGGGATCAGGGTGCTGTCTTTCTGTCTGCTGTGTAGGGCTCAGGGTGCTCAGCTCCCTCCCATGCACTAGTGTGGTACCCACTGGTGCTGTGCAATGCACAGCGTGGCTGCTGCCTCCTGTCTGCTCCACAGCCACCTTAACACTGAGCTGTTCTGAGCAACTTTCAGCCTCACACTCTCATGTACTCTGTGAAAATCTTCTCTCCCCTCCTTGGCCTCTCCCATCGACTGGGCCCCCAGGCTTGGTTACCTTCTGCTTGGTGCACCTTATGCCCCCAAATCCAGCCTCACCCTTTCTTTTCTCTCTTCTCCTTTGTGCCTGTGCTCTGCTGCCACCACCAAGCCAATTTTTGCCTGCAGTGCTGTAGCTCTGCTGGCTGGCCCCTATGTTAAATTATCCTTGCTGGAGTTCTGAGAGGTAGGGAAGAGCATGGGCTTTAATGCAGCCCAATGTCTGTGACTCTCCACTGCCTCTCCAGCAAAGCAGGTACCAAGTTTGAGACACTTCAGCCCATGATCAGGGCTTGTGCTGGCATCTGTATGTCAGCATGTTTCAATATGCAAAGTTCTGAGGCGAATACTGACTATAACTTGGCCCATTTTCAAGGGCAAGGAATGAATGGAGGGATGTTTAAAGATACAAAGACTAATTTCTTGCTGTCTTCATTTCAGTATTCACTGGTCCCTGCATCAGTGCCATTCTTGGTCGAAGAAAATGGAACCATTTCTTCCACAAAAGTATTTGATTATGAGAAAGATCCACATAGGTGAGAATGTAGTTAATTCATACCGTCTATTTGTTCACACTAGGCAGACAAATGTTTTCCTAAGTAGTAATAGAAAAAAATCTTATTTTGTTTTATTATTTAACAGTTACTTTTTAAATATAACTGTGACAGATCCAGATGGACTCAACTCAACTAAAGCAGTGAATATAAATGTAATTAACATCAATGATGAAAGACCTTACTTCACCACGTGAGTGCAAAACTTCCATTGTACTAAAAATGTAGATGTTTTCCCAGCTTTACTGCTTTGGCACCAATGGGAGGGTGTAACATACAGGCAAGTAAATATAACAACAGGATACAACTGAGAACAGTATTTCAATTTCATTATGATTCCTGCTCATTTAATGGAAAGCTTTGCTCATTTTCCTCTCAATAGTTTCAAGTTTTCCAGGCTTTGCCTTTATGGTACAAACTGCCAAACAATCTTGTTGTAGTTGTTAGCATTTAGAGAGGTTAAAGTTATGCAAAGACCTTTGGACAAGTTCAGACAAGAAGATGAATTTTACCCTGTGTGAACACAGTCATATAGAACTTACCCTCATGCAGATGTGCATTTCACCATAACGATGTTTATTCATGCAGAAGTGTCTAGACATAAAAAAGTCTCACTTTTGATCTGTCTTCCTCTTCTTTCCAGACACTTAGACTTGTAAACAATCCCAGTGATCTTTGAAACACTGTTGTCTCTTACTGTGTCATAAGCAGGAAATTGTGTCATAATACACAAGTCAGAAATAGCTTTTGAAGACTAATGGAGTTTTAGTTGGAGTTAATTCAGGATAATTGTTGAAAATTTGAAAAAATGGGAGAGAATATACATTTGTCACCAGCAGTCTGTTTGGCTGTGGAAAGCACAATGGACAACTATTTCTGAGGCTGGAGCTTGGCAATTATTACAGTTGATCTGAGTCTGTTGTTGATTTATCTTTGTCACTTGCATGAGATGCTGATTGGATTCAAGACACTCTCTTTATGTCTCCTCATCCTGAGGCTCTACAAGGTCCCTGCTAAGAATATTTATGATGGCTGCCTTCCTACCATCTATGCAAAGGAGAAGATAGTGTAACACCCAGGCCATGGCAAGAGGTTTCCAGCCACATGTTTGGAGCAATCTTCAGGGTTTTTTGTGGAGCCAGAGCAATGCATGGTTCCTGGGCTGAGGCCAAGGATCTGAACCTTGCTGAGTAGACGGGTGGAGAATCTGAAGAAACAGAAAGATGACATGTTAGAAACAGACATGGATTGGTTTTTTTTGTTGTTGTTGCTACAGATTTAATACTTGAACTTCTTGTCTGCAATAATCAATGAGGTTAACAGCTCAGTCTACATTACTGTACTGCTACAAGCAGGAGGAATCCTCTTACCAGTGCCAATGTTTGCACATTGTGTTCTAGACCGATTATTTCCTCCAAATGTTGCCAGTTCTATTTATTTATCCTTACGCCTGGAATGCTAAAGGAACTCTTTTAAATATTTATCTACTTGTTCAAATTAGCTGCAGTGGCTTGAACATCCATAACAACTAAGGTCTATGACTCAGTTCTCATTATGGCACAAATAAGGCCTAATGTTAAGTTTGAATTTTCGCCCTTTTAGATTGACATTAGAGGCCAAAAAAAGTAGCTCAGTTTGTGAAGAACTTTGTAACTTTGTAAAGAGTAACTTACACCTGGGGTGCTACTGACGGCATGCACATGCATGGCCTCTCTGCTAAATGTGAGCTGCCTGCTGGGCCTGTGTGCTTTCTGACACTGTAATAATTAGTGCTGGGATGGGAGCTGGGAAACTCGACATGTTAGCAAACCTTCTTTATTTTCCCCCAATCAAAGCTGTCAAGAACAGAGTTTCAAAGGGTCTTTTTAATTGTTCCCATAGTATATGCAAGCACATCTGTTTTTGGTGTTCACAGCACTGCATTGGCACTCAGCCTTTTGAAATTCTGGCTGTTAAAATCAATTGAAAACTTGTGGAGTCAGGAAAACAAAGGAGAAGACAAGAAAACAAACAGATGCTGTCTTTGCAATCACATTGCTATGTCTAAAAGGTCTGAACCGTCCTGTAGAAAGCCACTGGCAGGTGGCAGACAGATGGACAACAGGGCACAGCTCAGATGTAGCTGCCTAAGAAGTGGCCCCAGCTCCTCCTCAGCTCTACTAGTCCTCAGTGCTACGGGGATGTGCTCAAAAACATTCAGTTTCTTCCCAAGATATCTAGTGGGAACCAGACAATGGTCTGTGCAGGGCACAGGGGGGCTGGTTGAGCTGCTAAGGTGGAGCTGTGGTGAGTGCGCTGTCCACAGGGAGGTTGGAGTTGTGGTCCCTGTGGGCATAGGGAGTTCTCTACTTTGAGCCAAAACCAGTTAGAGCTGTTTGTCTTGTATTCCCCAGTGATCAGACAGGCATTTTGGGGTGGCATTTTTTTTGTAGCAGTGGAGAAGATTTGCTGCTATTCGTTTTGTTTCTGGGAGACTCTGGAAAAAACAGGAGAACAAGAGATCCAATGCCAAGGGTGAGATAGAAACGTAATACATACACTGATTCCACAGCCTTCACAAGCTCCTTGTTTACTTTTGGCTCTAAGTGTTTTCACTGGGAAAACCTTATGTGATTTCTCCCCTGTGTGCCTGCATTTTTTAATATGAACCAACAAAACAGTTGAAGATAATGTGTCTTCTTAACCATTTTAAAAATTGCAAGTGGAGACCTGGAGGCATGGGACCTTCTGTTCTGTCTTTGCAATTCTCTGCTCCAATGGTTAAGTGCCCCATGTTGTTGGTTTTCCCAGAAAAATAAAAGGGCTCATGCTTCCCTATACTGGGAATTACAGACTAGTCAATTAACTATGTGGTGCCATAGGAAGTTTTGAATGTTCCAAGAGGATTCTCTCTTGAAACATATTCCTAATGTTTTTCTGAACTCTTGAGCACCTTCAAGTCCTTTTGGTTTCTAGAAACAGGAGTTGTGTGTTTGTGTCTTTCAGTAGAATAAGTCAGCCTTCATAAACTTCTTACACAGTTTTTGTGTGCTTGTCCTACTTTTGCCTGTGGCTCAAGTACCATAATTGTGTACCTGAGTACCCATGTGACCAAGCAACTGCAACCATTATAAGCAATCCTGCACAATTGTTTGCCAGACTGCATCTGAACTGTAAAACACACTTAATTAATGGGAAATTAGGGAGTACTGGTATCCCAAACTGAAGCAGTAAAGAGTTATTTTCTCTGTGTAAAATGAATTAGACAGACAGATGTTGCTGGGAGCTTGGAGCATGTTCATTTGATGGACACCCACAGGAATGCACTTCTGTGCCTCTACCTACTGCAAGGACAACTCAAGTTCTTTAGTAATACTGTTGTCCCCAAAAAGCCTCCAGCATTCATTCCAAAAAGTGATTACTGCTTCTACTTTTGTTTTTGTCTTGCAAAATGAAGGAATTAAAGCAAGTGGCTTTGCAAGCTGGTGGCTCTGTGGGGAGATGGAGTACATGACTTAACAGCCCCTTCCATCTTCAGCTTCCATGATGCTGTGCAACTAAAATTGTTTTCTCTGTGAAAAAGCTGCAGAGGAAGGGCACTTAGTATATGTGGCTATATGTCATGTTTTATGACTACATAGGAGTTCAGCTATTGCTACACGTTCAGCTGGCAGAGCCAGTGACTGGAATTTTTGTCCTAACATGTAAAGAGCTGTCTCTGAGCCCAGTGTGGCCATGGCTCTGCTGCTACACAGCTAAGTCTGTGACCACTGCCCCTGTGAACACAGATCTGCTCTTTCCTGAATTTTATTTTACCTTGTAGGAAAAAGAGTACCTACAGGATTCCAGAGGAGCAAAGCCCAGGCACCATTGTTGCCAACATAACAGCTAAAGATCCTGATGATGAAGACTCTCCCAGCAGACTTTTCTACAGCATCCAGTCTTCTGACAGATATTTTTCCATAAATTCATGTAAGACAAACAAAAATGTGCCTTCTGACACTCAAAAGAGAGAATGGCTACTTTGGAGAAAAAAATTTTGCTGTAGTTTTAACTTGACTTACTTTTTTATGAGGCTGCTGCTAGAAATAAGAAATGCCCAGTACATTATTGGGCTAAAATTCTTCCATCAGCTGATCAAGACTCAGTAAGGTATCCTGAAGAAACAGACTGAGGGTGACATATTGACAGATACTGACATATGGCTGGAGGGTGACTGTCCCTTGGGTGGGAGAAAGATTAGCTGCTTTCATTTTAACCTCTAAGGACTGCAGTGACCCTTTTGGGATCCCTGAAAGAGCAGCACATTGTTAGACTGTAACATTCTCTCTCCCAATCTGCTCTAGCACTGAAGTGCACAGCAAATCTGCACATCAGCTTCATTGCTCAGCTTATGATCCTTCTCAGGCAAAGCCATCCAAGAAAGACCTCTCTCCTGCTGGTCAGGTGCTCTCTGGGGTGCACACACAAGTGCCCTGAGGTGTTTTGCTGCTTTGCTCCTGGCCTGCTTTCACTTTGGAGTTGCTTAGCACAACTGTAAGAGGTGCCAGGTAACACAGTGCTGTGGGGATCAGGATGATCTTCAAATGCTTTGGATTCCCAGTGTCCTTTGACCAGGTATTGCCACTCTCCCTCTCATTTACATTCCAAAAGGCAGAAGATACATGCACTGTTCCTTTACCTTCTTTGTACTCTGGAAGTAGTGCTGAGCTCTGCCAGAAAAACCTGCACTTTTTGAACAGAGGCTGACAGAAGAGAAAAAAAATACCAAGTGAATGGCTCACCAGAGCACTTGGCACAATCTGTCATGGCCAAAAGCAGCACTGTTGATGTGTGAGTAGATTTAGAGGTGCTGAAGGACACTTGAATGAAAACAGTAGAAAGTCAAGTGGTCTTACTAGCTAGAGAGCAAGGGCAGCACAGGCATAAGCACCTCATTGTCCTTGATGCTCTGTGAATGCACTCAATTCTGATTTGCACTAGCTCTTTGAGAGCGTAAGAGAAATCTAACTGCTTTCAAAGCCTCCTGCTGAGGCATATTTTTGAGCAATGCATATCTACCCATTTAAGTCTTATACAGAACTTTCAGAGGAATTCTGTATAATTTTTTAAAAAATAACCCAACCAGCCATGATTTGCACAGAACAGAATACTTTTTATTCTGCTACATGTTTGCTGAGGTACCCTGCCCTCTTGCATGTACACCGCAAGTGTTTGTTACTTCCTTCTGTGGGGAGCATCTAACTTCTGGCTGCTTCCTACCCAGTGACTGGAGTGCTGCAGGTGTCTGGGAGAATCAACAGAGATGCCCTTCCTCTGAAGCTCCACCCCGAGGTTTCAGTGGTGGTCCGGGTGGAGGACAGTCCCAGCGGCGGTCACACCAGCGAAATGGCCATCACAGTCATTGTTGATGATATCAATGACAACCCACCAGAATGCAAACCTTCTTCCTTCAGGTATTAAGGCTCTTCATTGCCTTAGTGCTGCCTTGCCCCTGAGCATTGTGCAGTCGAGGGTCGCCAGAGCTAGAGGTTCAAATGGACATATCTCTGTGAGCTTTTAAAAGCTTGTGTCCACTGGAAGTGCCTTAGGGCACTCAGCTTCCTGACTGGAAAATTGAATTAAAAATATCTGTGTATAGTCAGATATTTTATTTATCTTTCTTTCAGATAACTAAACCCTCAGGGTATCAGAGCCCAGTGTTGCAGAGTTACTTTTGTGACCCATACAGATCCAGGCTCCTCTTTTCTTACTTTATGCTAAATTGTGGGGAATCATTCACCAGGAAAAAAATGCCAGACAGTTCTGCAGTTTTATTTTAAATTCCTGATCTTCTCTTCTAAATCTCTCCCTGATAACCTGCCTGGTTTTTGTCTAATGGAAACTGTCAGGTCTTCAGAGCCCTGATCTCCTCTTGTTACAGGTGTCTTCTGTGCATAGTAACTTAGTCATGGACTTTGCTACGATTATGAATGTTCTGAGACCTTTGTCACAATCAGGTAGTTTATATTTTTTAGATGAAGATATCTGTAAACTCCAGTTTACAGATTAGGTATGTCACAGAAATACTGAAGTCAAAATTGTATATATGAGGTGTCCAGTCCTTCAGAGTACCCCTCATTGCATAGTGCAGTTCTTCAGATGCACTTATGGTGGTTTGATGGTCCTGCAGATAAAAGCCTTAGCCTATGCAATGAGGAATACCCAGTTAGTGGGTATCTGGTTAAATTGCTTGCTCACTATCTAAGAGAAATGTCTTGCATTTAAATCACATACTTTTAGGTACTGGCAGGAAGAGAATCCAATTCTTCAGAGGGCTGCTTAGTTACAAGATCCATGACAATAATGCAACAGTCTCTTTGTTCTGTAGTGAGCTTTAGTTTTGACCTGAAGGAGACAAAAAACTTCAGGGAAAAATGCATTCAAACAAAGAACTAGTCTTACGGGGTTGCACAAGGGAACAAGATCAGGGCTTAGTATATCTGTTGGATTTATTTTTTTTTTTATTTTCTTGATTTAAAAAAAACAAACACAAAACTTAAATTGACACCCTCATCCCCCAATTCCACTCTATGCATCACAGGGAACCTCACTGTCAACAGCAGGGCCAGAAATCTAATTTCATAAAACAGCAGAATGGTTCAGCTATTAGTTAAGGAGAAAGAAATAAGCTTCTTGTCAGAAGAACATTACAATATACTAAAGAAATGACTGTTGTAAAGATATTTTAAAATGCTAATTATTAATTGAACTAATCTAGATCATTAAGATCTCATGGCAGCTTCTGAAGTTTACCTGAGTTCCAGGTTTACAGTCTGGATCTGGCTAAATGTTTACGTCCTCCCCATTGCACAGAGCTGTTGTCCACCACAGCATATGGATCAGATACTGGGTTGCTTCATCAGCTGTTGCCTAATTGCATTATTTAGAAAATAAATGGAAGCCACTGTTTTAGTATAGAATATATGAAAATTTAAAGTGGAGAATTTTAAGTTGCTCTGATGGGAAATATGTTTGTTTTAAACAGGAAAGAGGCAAATGAAAATATGACTGCAGGGACATTTCTTCTTGATCTTAGAAATTACTGTGAAGATATTGATGTTGATCCATCAAACAATCAATTTAATTTCACTGGATTATCTGGTTTTGGAAGCAATAACTTCGCTCTGGAGCCCACTGTCCCTGGAAGACTTGTGGTCAGTCATTTGCAGCTTTATTTTAGATTGCCTCATTTCAGAAGTCAATTTATGAAATACTATCAGTTTTTCAAATTGATGGTCTGTACAAGAAAAAATAATTGCTGTACTTCATGTCACAGGGGGTATGATGTGGATAATGACTGTTTGGACTGGATGTGAAATACATACCCTTTGATAGGATGCCCTCTAGGGATTCTACAGAATTTAGTGAACACAGAACTGCTTTCTCCAGTTGTAAATAAATGTGCTAGATATGACTGAAAAAAATATATGTTTTTAGGGAGTGTGAAGCACCAGTGTTGATATGGATAAACAAAGAATTTTGATGCCATTTCATGCCTGTTTATTGATGACAGACTGTGGCAGGTCCTTGCTATGCAGCATGAAGAACTGGAATATTTGAGAAATCCCACACTCAGTAATTACTTCCCAGCTCCATTGGTCAGAATTGTAAAACCACTTTGACTGGTAAATTTTCAAAGTGGTGGGATTTGCACTTCAGTTATTTTGCATGCCAAAATATGCGTTCCTTGTGCTGAGAGCTGGTGGTGTATTTGCCAGAACTCCCACCAATTGCTGGACATGGGCAATAGTGGTTGTTTTGTTCCTTTAAAAAGAAGTATAGACAAACACAGAAAAAGGGAAACACAATGAAAACAAGGCATTCTGGTTAAAAGACAAGAGTGCTACAGGAGCAGTAAAACAACTTTCTATGGCTTACTTCAATTTTTTTCTATATTCATGGCAATGAGCACTGCCCTTGCTGCTTCATCTGCCAACATATGAAGTGTTTTCACGGCTGCACAGGATAAGACTGTTGTCAGCCCTTTGAGCATCATGTGTGTATAATGTAACAGGCTATCCCAAGTATTCTGTCCCTGCAGGAAATTCCCTGTAGATTTAAAACAATGGGTGTGTTTGTGCTTTACTCGTGTTGCCCCAGAGTTTATGAGGACCCTACAGAAAGACAGGGAGATCAGGTGATTAGGATTTAAATCTGCTTGAGCCACCGTTTAGTAACAACTTGGTTCCTGGATAAACACTTGTGGCTGAACCTGATACTTTTAATACATGCCTGCAGGCATGAGCTCAAGGAGTAACTATTCCTATTTAGCAATAGCAGATGCTTGTTGAGCCAACAAAGGGCTCAGCAAATAGCCAGCTCATTACACATTCTTTGAATTAACCAGGTAAAAGGCCAAGACCTTATGATCCAAATGATAAAACTTCCTGCACTTAAGGGGAAGATATTTTGTTGGAAAGAAGTTTGATTTGCCAAGAAACACCACAGCATGAACATGTAGAAAAAGTCTGAAATTCAACCCTGCAATTGATTAATAGCCTATATTACTCTTGCAGGGCAATTCTAGATATCCAAGGGGGAGGCCACACTTACAGAACACTGAATAAAGTACTTGCCATCATGTGTATTGTGACTTTATGTAAGGAAGCATAAATACAATTGTGTTTCTTTTTAATTTAGATGACTGGAAGTATTGATTTAGAAAACCCAGCTAATCTAGGAGTTGAAGTCTATTCTTTGACTGTCAGGGTGCAAGATGTTGCCTATCCTAACTACTCAAGCAAGTATCCGTCTTACACTTCTTTTGATGTTCTCTGTGCAGTGACAGCATGGAAATAATACCATATGTACTTTGAATATATGCATGAGAAAATTTCGCAGCCATACTGAACTATGGTTTGGTTTTCTGTTATATTTCCAGATATCATCTACATTTACATCAGGATAAAGCCAGTGAATGATTTTTTTCCAGTCTTCAGTAATTTATCATATGAATTTAATGTTCCAGAAATTATAAAAGGTACAGTAAGTTACACCTACATGATAGAAATAAGCTTGTCATGTTGATAATTAACTTTGGCCCCAAATGGATTTTCATATATTTGAATGAAGAGGATGGCTCAAAGCTACAGTTCCACTGGGGTCTCACCATAGAACCACCTCCTACCCTTAAATAGACAAAACTGGCAACAACTCCAGTTGTGCAGGTGGAAGCTGAGACACTGACAAATCCAGCAATTGCACAAGAAATCTGTGATGGAGCCAGAAATTGAACTCAGATGTCTTATTTTAGACTGTCTTTCTACACTTGCTAAGTGTAGAAAGTCCTTTTGGAAGGACTGTGGTGGTGCAAAGAAACCACTACAGACTGACACAGGCAAGTGAGGACTTCCTTATCCCAGACATGGTGTAGGATGGCCACCCCACTGTCCTCATAGACCCAACCCATCTCAGGTGCACTGGGTACACTGGAAATGGGGTGAGATGGGAATGTTTGGAGGCGGAGGCTTCATCCAGCCAGCTGGCAGCCAGAGCAGCTCCTCCTGTCTGGAGCCAAGGTCCTTTCCATTCCTACAACAGCCCTGGACCAGAGACTGCAAGTGTGGCCTTAAAGCTGAATTTACTGAAACTGTTCACATGCTTGACTGCCACCTCAGCACCCTTCCTGTCCCCTGGTGAGCCCTGCATCTCATGAGTTTGCAGAGCAGTGACACAGCATCTTGCCTCCTTGGTAACCCTCATGTGCCAGGTGCAACTGCCAGCCTGCTCTGTGCTGTGCTGCTTGGGGCACAAAGGAGTTGGCATGGGAATGGCATCTTCTCCAGCTTCAGCCTCTCCCTCGTACAACCCAATGTACCAAGTACAAGCCTTTTTTCTGAGGACCTCACTTATTGGCTGAGAAAAAAATTGAGAGGTCCATCAGATAAATGCTGGATAAATCTTGAGCCTTTTTCTGGACTTCCTAGGGTCACAGAAAAACTGGTGTGAGGGACCCCCAAGGGTGCCTAGACCAACTCATGCTCAAGTGGAGCTAGTTTTAAAGTTAGATCAGGTTGCTTGGGGACTCATCCAGTTGAATTTTTTAAATGTCCAAAAATGGAGACTCCACTGCCTCTCTGAGCCCCTGTTCCAGGGCAACCTTCATTTCGGGTAATTTTACCTTGCACCCAGCTGAAATTTCCTGTGCTGCATGTTGCTGCTGTTAGCTGTGGCTCCTCACTGTCCCGTTCTGAGAAAAGAGGTTTTTTTTGTTTTCTGTATTATCACACTTTAGATAGTGGAGAAAAAGCAATCAAATCCCACCTTCACCTTCATTTCTTCAACCTGACCAAGCCCAGCCTCATCAGTCTCTTCTTCTGTGACATCTTAGTGGCCCTTCCCAGCCTTTTTCCAATTTATTAGCATCTCTCTTTTACCTGGGCCCCCACTCTGGTCACAGGTAGCTTTTTGAGTGCTGAGCAGAGTGGAGCAGTCACTTCCCACCATGTGCTGGTAACACACTTGTTCACACAACTCCAGTATGCAGTCTCCATTTCTCCAAAGGTGCCCTGGTGGCTCAGGTATAACTTGTCCACCAAGGCCTGGGGTCCATTCCTGCAGAGCTGCTGCCTGCTCAGTCAATCCCACTCTGCCCTGACACATGGGCTTGTTCTGGCCCAAGTGCAGGACTTTGCATTTGTCTGTGCTGAGCTCATTGAGTCCTGTTGGCTCATAGCTCCAGCTTGCCAGGCCCCTCTGAATAGCATCCCTGTCCTCCAGCATGTCCAACACTGCCTTAGACTGCTTTTACTTACACATCTGCCCCAATGGCCACATCTTTGAGGAAGGTGTCCAACTGCACCACTGCATTTGAGTGGAATATGCTGAAGCTGTCCATGAAACTCCATTTAGCAGCCAGATAATCTATTATCTGCTTGAATTAATAAAAATATTCTGGCCAGGGCAGGCCCAAAGCATGGGTGAAGGTAGCTGTGACTATGGTCAGCAGACCTGTGGGCTTTATGGTGCTTCCGTGTCCATTTTTTTAAGCCAGGAGGCAGGGGGTTGGGGGAGAAAAAGGCATGCTTCAAGCAGCCCTGCCAGTCTGCCAACAACCTCCTCTCCCTTTCAATGGGCAAAGGAATAAGTCTAGGTTTCTAGCCCTAACCCTCATCTCTCTGTTTTCTTCCTTCTCTGGTAAGGAGGATCCTGCCAATGTCCATAAGTGTGCACAAATCTCTCCTGTCTGCCCTGTAGAGAGGCTGTCATCAGCTACTGCTGAGCTCAGCAAAGCTGCAGTGTGGATTGGGAGGGAGCTGCAGAGTCTGGGGAGGCTGAGGTGAGGGGCTGGCTCCTCGGGGGTCTGCCTGGCAGAGGGACCCTGGCAGCTTCCTGCAGCAGCCAAACTGCCAGGAAAGTGAGGAGGGTGAAGGGAGGACAAGAAGGCACAGGGCAGCAACTCAGCAGTCAGAGTGCCCCGACCTCCAGGTGTTCAGCACCAGTAGCCTGTTCTTGTCCAACTTTTCTTACTATGGTGCATGGATGAAGCTTAGCTTTTTACACCATTTCCCAGTGGATACGATGTAGTGGAGCTTGTGGCATTTCCTATTCTGTGTGTTTCCTCATATCATTCACATGTACCTTAGAAATATAATACCTGAAACCCATCTGTGACATGGATATGTCTGTAAACCTCTCTGTGTCCACTGTAAACCTTTGCTGGATACTGAGGTTATCAAGAGAAATGCTTTTGGGACCCAGACTGCCTTTTACTAGGAGCTGAGTTGATATTAACAGGGTGATATTGCTGTACCAAGCAGGAGCCAGCAGTTTGCAGTGGGGCTGGAGTTCACAGGGTCAGGAAAGAAAAAAACCAAAGCCAACCCTTCATTTACATCCTCCTTCTGTCTCACTCCCTGCATGTAGGCTGTGCATCCTGTGCATCCCTGGGTCACAGGGATGCATTCGATGCACTCAGCATTGATCCACTGCCTGCAGCGATGGGCATGCACAGTCCCATCCTTCTTGTCACATTGGACAGCACTGCCATTTGTAGGGCTCAGCACGAAGGTAATTCAAACTGCTTCTCAAACACCTCAGAAGGAACTGCAGAAATTGCTTCTCAAGGCAGACAGAGTCTGGCTCCTCCAACCAAGCCAGAGTTGGTGAGTGTTGGTGCAGGGCCAGGGTGGCCCTCAACACCAGTGCACTTCTCTTGTGGTTCTCAACAGGCTCCATATGTTTTGGTGTTTAGTGCTAGCAGACATGCCCATACACAGGTGAGCCACAGCACAGCATGTTGAACTAGTATTTCTCAGTCTTTGCTTTGCTTGTTCTGGGTGCAAAACTCAAAAATAAATCTTTAGTTCAGTTTCATCAAGTTTTTGGTCGGAACAAGTAATCTGCATTTCCTTTTCCTTAAAATGTTAATGAAATATGGATTTTCTGCCTCTTAGTTGGATCAAGCATTGGAAAAGTGATTGCCACAGACAAGGACTGGCCACCCAGTGCCATCACTTACTCCATTGTAGCTGGAGGAGGCACCAGAGATTACACAAATATCTTCTGGATCAGCCCAACCAAAGGAGATGTGAAGATTTTAGCTAGATTAGACTATGAAACAACTCAGAAACACATTCTCACAGTGCAGGCCTCAGACCAAGAGAAGACTGCAACAGCATCTGTGAGTAAATATTTCTCCCCTTTATCTACATTTTCCTCTCTTCCTCCTGACAAGAACAGTATGACATTGAGGCAAAGCACTTTGGTCTGCCAAAGGCAAGTCCACCCCTGCACAGAGCTTGGTTTTAGTCAGATGAAAGACGTTGTGTTCACTCAGTCTTGGTTTATTTCTTACAAAAAGGATTAAAGTAGTATTTTTTTGGTATTTTTAACTCTGTGGGGTTTGTTTGGCAGTCTTTTTGTCTTCATGTAGCTGGGCAATAAAATTGTTTCCTGTGTCCTAAACAATTTGAGGTACTCTGTATGGCTAAGTACTGGAAAACAGAAAAAGGACAGGGTCTTAAGGTGAGGTAAGGCAACCTAATTTTAGCCATACTTAGTGCCAAGTCCTTTTTGGACCTCGTGTAGTGCCCCTTGGCCCTCAAACATACTTTCCATTTTTTACATGACATTTTTTCACTGCAAAGTGCCCCAAAGTAAAGTGAGAATCATGTTGCAGCCTGTCAGACTTGTGTTTCCATAGGGTGGAACAGAGAGGATGTGCTGCATAACTCGGGGATGAGATATGGGTTTGGGCAGCCTTTTGGGTTGCCAGTACAGCTGTGCCCTCATGGCCTACTGGGCATGGAACCTCACATGTGCCTTCCCCTGAACATGATCTAGTTCTGTCCCCAGTGGTGCTATCTGGTAGGAGACAAGAGCATTCCAGGGACCATGGTAATATTAAACAGTAGGGCTGTGCTCAGGTTTGCCACCCAGATCTATTTTATTCAGAAGATAAAATACAGATGGTATATCCACAAAGTTATTTTACAAATCACTTCTTTCAAAGAATCCTGGTGTCCTTCACATACAGACTCCTTTTTACTCCTTTTCACATATTCTTCCTTGTGACTGCCTTACATTTGATTTTTGCCTGCCTGTTGAGGGTGGGGGATACCAAGCACCACCCCTAGAGAGGCTAAGTGGGAGGCACTTAATCTCGTTATCACCTATAATATTTCAAGGTGACGATTCAGGAAAATTAGCATCAGGAGCTTCTAATGATGAAAAGTTTATCTGTTGCCTGTTAAAGAACAAAAGACATTAGAGGAAAGAGCTTTGAGAAGGGCAACCTTTTTCTCTCAGTGAGCTAACCCCAGGTGACATAAAACACATCTGGTGCTCCCTGGGGTGCTCCCAGCCATGCAGAAGGCCATAACCAGCCTCACTGCAAACAGTCTGCAAGGAGTTATCCTTCCCTCCATGGATCATGCTCTGAATTATTATTAAATATGCTAAGAAGACTAAGTAATGACTGTGAAGCAATTTTGAGAGTTTTGAAAGAAAGTCTAATGACTATGTGGTACTATTATTATTTCTCATTCTTGCTCTGACACAATTCAGGTGGTTCAAATAGTCAGATGCATCAGCTCAAAACCCCTGTGGTTTTGGAAGATGGCTCAGGTTAAGGAACCTGTTCCCAGAGGAGCACTGATCACAAGAGGAACTGAAGCATAAATTATCATAGGCATTTTCTGGTAGAAACTAGACAGGAAGGGAGGTTCATTGCTCTTCCACTCCTGCTGATCAAAAGAGAAAAATGGGCAAAGCCAAACAGTTTCTGAAGTTAATAAAATTCTGGGTCAGTACAGTGGAGGGGCTTCAGCTTGCTATTGCTCTTGTCTTTCAGATAACTGTTAATGTTTTGGAAGTAAATGATGAAGAACCAGTTTGTTCACCCAATTTCTATTCCTTTCAAATCCCAGTCAGTTTAGCTGTTGGGACCAATATTAATGGCTTCAGGATTGAATGTCAAGATCGTGATTCTGATCCCAGGTCTTTCCGTTACACCATTACCGAAGGTACCGTGTCAGTGTATGAACTGGGAGCAGGACACAAATTAGTGAATGCTGATAGTTCACATTGATTTGTAAATAAAAATCTGTGCCAGTTTATGTGCTACTACTCATGGTGAAGTAGTTGTGACCTGCAAGTTCTGCATATCATTACTTTGCTGCTTACAAAAAGAGATGTCCAGTTGGCTACCGGTGCTGCTGCCTAGAATAATTCTCTTGCAAGACTGGATTGGCTACCACATTAATTAACTGTCAATTAATTATATAGTTGACAAGGACTTCAGAAGGATGAGGTGGAATGAAATGCAGGTTCAAATTTCCCTTCCAATTACAGCTGAGTAAATCTTCAGAAATGATGGTGGGTTCTGTTACTCTGCATACCCCACCTTTAGATGCTGATACAGTTCAAAACATTGAAGCAAACTTATATGTCCCAGGACCCTGTTATATGCATTAAAACCCCATTTTAAGAACATGTGTTTGAACCTAGTAATCAACAGCATCCACCTTGAGAACTGCAATGGAATGGGATGATGCTCGATTTCACAAAAAAGGGACTGCACTGTCTTGGGGCAATTCCTTTTTTTGTTGCTGAGGTGACTGCTGAGAAGGAAAGAGCAGATTGTTCAGGTGCCAGTAAGAAGCTGTGAGTGTAAAAAGAGAGAACCTCTGTCCTTTTGCAGCCCCTTAATGCCCTAGAGGAGCTCTGCAGCAGTGATACTTACACATCAGCTCACAGGCTGTGTTTTGGCTGTACAGACATGAGCTGTGCCATGGAGTTGGCCTCTGAGCCACAGAGTGGCCAATGGCCTGTTTTATGTTGTACATTAGATGTGGCCTTCAAGGTCACTTCAACTCTGGAGCTCTATGGGACAACAAGAGCCAAATCACACCTGGTGACTTTTCACCTCTCTGATCTCTCATGTGTGGTCTGTTTGGAGCCTAACAGCTGGGCCTGGCCTACCTGAAGCCTAGGCTGCCAGCACATCTCCAGCTGGACAGAAAACGGGGGCTGGGGAGCCAACATCTCTGAACTCCCCTCTCTGCATCCACAGTGCAGACAGTCCTGGAGCCAACTAATATCCCCCGAGTCCTTAGGTCTCTCTTTTAGGGGATCTGTTCAAAGGCCCCTGTCTCTTGGCAGAAGCCTCAGAGAGGGGGCTGGACTGGCCTCATGAGATGCTGATGGTGTTCATGTGGCCCAGGTGCCACAGTAGTGAAATAAGCCCAGCACTAGCACAGGACCCTCGCTCCAGCTGGGTGCTGCTGCCTCTGGGTGCTCTCCAGCCAGGAAGGACAGGTCATTTTGGTGACCTCTTGTGTGCCCTACAGCTGTGAAGTGTTTCCCCAGCCTTCTCTCAGTTGTGTCCCTGTAGAGGGTCTTATTCCATATTTTAATGCTTTTGTCCCTATATTGCTCTATGTGATTTCATATGATACCAGGAAGATTGAGGAGCCATTCTTGTCAATGATATCTCACTGCACAGGTGTATAGTGATCCACAGCAACTTGTGAACACAAACTGATCTTTTCTGCTTGTTCCACACATTCACTTTAATGTGAGTTTGCTTTTCTCTTTTATTTCTTTTTTTGGTACTGTTTTGTGGTTTTGCTACTGCCTGCAGGCAACATGAACAACCATTTCACATTTTCACCAAGTGCTGGATCCAACACATCTCGGCTGATTCTTGCATCAAGGTTTGACTATGACAGTGGACTTGATACAAACTGGATTTACAGACTGCGTGTTGTTATAACAGATGACAATTTACTATCTGCCAAGGACAAAACTACAGGCCTAGTTCAAACTGGAACGGTGTCTTTAAAGATCAGAGTTATCCCAAACCCAACTACTGTCATTACCACAACGGTAAGTTTGCTGAAATGTATGTCCACTTCTGTGGTTCTTTCATGGACAGCTCTCCATGGGAGTGAAGAAAATAGAGAAGATGGATGCAAAAGGAAAACAAAAACATAGGGTGGATCCAGTCCCAGGAAGTGCTGAGCCCAGTGCTCTTACATGGAAGCCAAAGGTGTTTAATGTGCTCAGTGTCATGAAGGATTGGTCCCAGGTACAGAGTCACGACATATGTTTTGTATTTTAGTTTCTAAAACAAAAAGGGCAAGTAGCCAAAGGCCCAGGCATGCTGCCATCAGCACGTAACTGAAAAGTTAAAGACTTTGGCAGCTTTATTAAAAAGGAAAGAGCAGGGGTTAACACTTGCTTAGAACCTTAAAATTACCTCATGCATTTTGCACTGCCTCTTTTTTTTATTCATAGCTATTCACTGCACCAGCTCCCTTGCACTGGAATGTGCTTCTGTAGTGGTGGGACACATTAATCTGTGGCTACCAAAGTTGAAACAAAGAAATCCTCACCACTTGGAAGGGTGAGAGTAAAAACCCTGAGCTGCCTGTCAGGAATTGAAGCAGCTGTGCACAGCCTCAGCACGTTGCTGAGGTTTCAGTGGGTTTCAGACAGGCAAAGCCAGAGGGGTGGGATGGGTCTTTCCTGATTTCCCTGCCCACATGGTGGTCCCTAGCTGAGCTGGGGAGCTGTCTGCACAGCTTTTGGCATCTGGGGTGGGATCTTATCTTGCAAAGCCTGTGGAGCTGTGGGTCTGTGTCCCAGTAATACAGTCTACTCCTCCACACCAGCCATCCCAGGTCAGCTCTGGCTCATCAATTTCATTTGGGAGCTGATTTCCATCAGGCAGATAGGTGCATGACGTGAGGAGAGCTTGCTTTTGTCCTGCCTGCAGAAGCAACCCAGCTCCGTTCCCATCCTTGTGGCAGTCACTGCCTTCATCCCTTGCTGCACTATCTCTCTGTCATCCAGACTCCCTCCATTTTCAGCCTCCCTGCAGATGGCACTGCACTTTTCTGCCTGACATGCAGTAATGAAAAGATGAGGCTGTTGGAGAAGGGGTAAAAGGGCTGTTCACTGTACAGTGGTCTGGGTCTGCTAGGAACTGCTGGGAACTGAGCCAGAACCAGGGGATCCTGCAAACAGCACATGCAAATGGAGGGGGCAGGTTGGATGGGGCTCTGAGCAACCTGGTCTAGAGGGAGATGTCCCTGCCCATGAAGGGGGGTTAGAACTAGATTATCTTTAAGGTCCCTTCCAAACCAAACCAGCCTATGATTCTATGATTCTGTGAAATCTGGACACTTTGCAATGAAAATACTTAAACCTATACTTGCAGACTGATTAATAACCCTGTTATTATCTAGTGCTCTGTTGGGAAGGAATAAATGGTTTTCTCACAACCTTCTCCACCCCCTACTTGAGGTGGAAATGAAAAGTTAAGCTGAATAACAAAACTTATTCTGTATTTCTTTCCCATGCTCCACCACAAATACAAATACAGTCTAGACCACATACCACAGCATTTAATCTGCCTCCCCAGAGATAGCTGCCTTCCACTTTCAGTCTGATTTCCAGAAGAGTACTTCCATTACAACAACTTCTCTCATCACTACTTGATGGAATATGACTATCACATTGGACTGTGGCTATCAAAGGTTACAAGCTGTTCAGAAGGGACAGGAGAGGAAGGTGGAGGTGTTGCTCTCTATGTAAAGAAGTGGATGGAGTGTGAAGAGTTGTCCCTAAAAAACAGCCATGAACAGGCTGAAAGCTTATGGGTGGGAATTAGGGATTGGGACAACAAAGAGAGCCTTGTGGTTGGAGTCTACTACAGACTGTCTGATCAAGTGGAGCCTATTGATGAAGCCTTCTCACTCCAGCCTGAGGAGACATAGTGATCACTGGCTCTGATGCTGCTGGGGGATTTCAACCACCCCAACATCTGTTGGAAAAGTAGCACAGCAAGCTGTAGGCAATCCAGGAGACTCCTGGAATGCCTTGATGACAACTTCTTAGGACAAGAAATTGACAGCCCTGCCTGAGGGGATGCCTTATTGGACCTGATGGTCACAAATGCAAGTGAACTCACCAGGGATGTTAAAGCTGAAAGCAGCCTGGGCTGCAGTGATCAGGCACTAGTGCAGTTCACTGTCCTAAGGGATAAGAGGCAGATGAGAAGCTTAGTCAGGACTAAATTTTAGGAAAGCAAACGTTTACCTCTTCAAGGAGTCAGTAGATAGGACTCCACAGGAAACAGCCCTCAGGGAGAAGGGAGCAGAACAGAGCTGGCAGACCTTTAAGGATGCTTTCCATAGAGTGCAAGAGATCTCAATCCCCAGGTCTAAGAAATCAGGCAAAGAAGACAAGAAAAAAGCGTGTCTGACTTGAGACCCACTGGCCAAACTAAAAGGCAAAGATGGAACTACACAGGCAGTGGAAGAGGGGACAGGTATCCTGGGAAGACTATAGGGACGTTGCCCAGTTGTGTAGGGACAAGGTCAGGAAGGCCAAGGTGCAGCTGGAGCTGAACTTGGCAAGGGATGTAAGGAAAAACAAGAAGGGCTTCTACAGGTGTGTAAACCAGGAAAGGAAGGTTAAGGAAAGTGCAACCCCCCTGATGAGCAACAGAGGGGAACTGGTTACGTGTCCAGTGCAGCTACTTGATGAATCAGATGCTGGAAGGCTGGTAGTGCAGAAAAGAAGCCCCATTATAAAAAGTCACTCATGGCTTCAGTCTCAGTGAGCATGGTGTGGTGGTGGTGATTATCTGAGAATTTCTGTATGGATTTGCTATACCTATTTTTTTTTGCAAGGTTAAGTAAGATACTTTAAAGGTATGCTCAAACAGGAAAGAAATAATACCCTACTAAATTTAGTATAGAATAAGATTTTAAATGTATTACAGAAAACTGAATAAAAACTTCATCAGAAGATCAAAACTAATAGTACCACACTAGGTGTTGACCTAGGTAGAGCAAATAAGCAATCTCTTATCAGTGTGAGGATAGTTTAATGATGGGACCCTAATGAATGAGTTGCTGACATGCCAGCTCAGAGCCGCATCTCCTGGCACTCAGAAAGATGTGGGAGATCACAACTGCTCAGGAAGTTTATTTTTCCCTTTTGGAACAAGTCACTGGGATTAAAAAAGGAGTTTAATTTCTTTTTATGCAATAACCCAATTCCTCAGGGTTCATCTCCTCTTATGAAAGGGGCCAAATGATCAATGCAGTGATGACGACCTACTTCCAGCTTTGCCTTAGGTAACAGGCACATGGGATGAATCACTGTCTCCAGGAGACACTGCCTCCCTCTGCCCATCATCTGCAGAGCCCCAGGGCAAGGGTGGGCCAGGTGCTTCAGTGCAGAAGCCACTGATGTCAGTAACCCCCCCAAGTACACAGCCTTGAGAAACTCTTCCTATCTTGTTTTAAAAGCCTGGCTTCACTCTGGTGACGAGGAGGGAAAACCTGTACTCTGAATCAGCCTGGTACGTGCCGTTCGTCCTCACCCTCGGCAGTTTGCTGCTCCTGGGCCTGCTGGGGTACCTGGGGTTCCTGCTGGTCGCCTGGCTGCGCTCCCGCCGCCCCACAGCCCGGTGAGTCCTCCCAGCTGGCACACTGGGGGAGCATCCAGGAGCACCTGGCAATGACAGAGATAACAGTAATGAAATCCGTCTCCTGAGCATTTTGTAGCAGCCTGCCCTCCGCTGCAGTAAGTGGTATTACCTGCTGCAAAGGTATTAGCTGTTACTGATAGGAAATCAAGTGAAAATATGCCAATGGAATTTTGTTTCGTGGCTTTACTAACAGCCTAACAAACACACTGGATGAAGGTAGCTGTGGAATTAGCAACCATGACCTCTAAAGGCAGCTACACTCCAGAGGCACGGTCAGACTCTGGGCCTGACTGTGTTTACCAAAAGTACAAACATTTGTGGTTGTATTTGGCGCCCACTCCAGGGAAGCTCCCATCTAGGTGGTTACCTGATGCATATTTCTCTTTCTCAGCTATGGATCCCAGAGTCTTTTCCAAACCTTGGTGCTCATGCCAGATTCTTTGATCAGCAAAACTCCTGCAGATTTCCTGGAGTTTTGCCCAAGCCCATTGCAAGGCTCTGTCCCATAAAGCTTCAAGGGCTTGTGCTTGGCAAAGTCATGGAAGCACCTGGAATGGGCTCCAGTTCATTGTGGGAAGTGGCAGAGATCACCACTGGCTGCTTTCTCAGTGGGCTGGAGCCTCTAAATTGACATTTTACTTCATAAAACAAAGATAGATGCTCTTTAAGTGGACTGGGATAAAAAAAAAAACACAACAAAAAAAGGATTTCTGTAAGTATTCTCAGGACTTGGACTGAAAAATAGCAGTTATAATAAATATAAAGAGGTAATCTATGATTATAATTCAAATGATGTGTGCAAGGAATTTAGCAATTTCTGATAAAAGTGACAAATTAATCTAGCAGCATATAGCTTGGCTATTGCTATTATATATTAACAGAGCAGGTGACTCTTTGGGAGCCAGGCTCTCTCATTAAAAAATGTCTATATTTTCAAAACTATCTATAACCTTTCAAATATTTAAAAAGCTATTATCTGAGCACATCAGATAAAAAAATAAATAAATTTGACCTTCCTCCAAGGATTGAACAAAAGAAAAATATTCTAAAATATATTTTTCCAGATGCTATAAGTCCATAATGCTGTTATCAATCAGACTTCTATTTTTTAAAATATCATCCCTCCTTGGAGAGGTGTTACAGCAATGCTGAGGGTGTTTTCCTGTTTGGGTGCAGCATTACATGATGTGGGCTTTCAGAAAAGGCAAAACCAGAAACTACACAAATTAAGCAAATCCCAGAACTCAAAAGAACAAAGTATGGTATTTTTCGTGTAGGTAAAAGCATGACATTTGTTAACTACACTCTTAATCTTTTTCATTACAGGATGAACGCTCCAGGTGTGTACCTTTTTTCTATATTTTAATACTTCTCAACAACACCTTGTTTACAATTCAGCATGAAGTTTGTGAATCTATTTCTAGACACATAAATTCGACTCAGGACAAGCTTACTGAGACTAAGTAACCCTGAGTGGTTATTGGAGGCCTGCCTAAGTGATCTCATGATAGTTTTGGTCTTCAGATCTATTAACAATTAGGTAAAAAACAAATTCTGTGTAGTCTGGTATTCTGTCACGGATGCTAAAGAATTACTGTATTTTTCAGGTGCAATTCATACCCTGTCTGTTACAAACCAATCCATTCCCTCTTCAGCACCTTCCAGGGCCTTCTCCATTCCAATTCCTTGTTATCTAATCCCTTGATTTCTTCCTTTGACACCATTACTTCATGTATCTCAAGCTTTATTTTAAAGTATCGGTGCTTTTAAAGGGGTTTGCACACCTTAGCAGAATTACATGCTGCACATTAAAAAGTAGGTGTTTTTTAGGCAGTCTTGTTTATTTTAGTCCCGTCAGCTTTCTGGTAGGAAGCTGGGCTCATATGGGCTCAGTAAGACCCTGCTTTTATAACTCCCTACCCTCAGTCAGTGAATCCCAGCTTGAACAAAAGCCACATGATTAACAAGACCCAACAAAACTAGCTGTTATCCTGGTTGCCCAATTTGAGACATTTCATCAGTGGCTGGTTGCCAAAAAACAATGGGTACTTGGTGCTTTCTGAAAAACTGGTTCCCAAATGCTGGGCAGCAAGGGCCAGACAGAACAGGTTTCCCATCCGTGCTCAGGTTCAGACCCAACTGCAGCACTTCAGAGTATTGCTTGCCTGGCTGTAAAGCCCGTTGGTGGCCCAGCACACAGTTCTCCAAAGGAAGGCCATTAAACAAATTGGCAAGGAGTGAGAAAGACAAAATCATAGCAACTGCTTGGGTGTCATCCACAAATCCGTGCTGTCAAGACGCCCATGGCACTGCTGCTGTATTTGTTTGCATGTGGGATGAGTTAATAGTGTGGTAAATTCACACATACCCAAACTGTTCTTCAATCTGAACTCTACTCGACTGGATCTGCTGCACTTCCCTGTTTTGTCTCCAAGCACATGTTTGAGTGCACATGCTTTGCAACTACAAAGATTCATGGGAAAAACAAAATATTAAAATCTACATTTATAGCTCAAATATCCCCAAAGGTGAATTTCTATATCTGTTCATATTATTTAAAAAGGAAAATTTGTTAAAGAAACCATTGTTGTGTATTCTTTACTGAAGAAATAAGATTTTTGAAGGCTAAGCTTTTAATTAGTCATTGGCAACTATGGATCCTTACGCCAAAACAATATGAAGGAGTTTGCTTTTCAAATAGTATGGGGGATCAGTCTTCAAGAAGAAACCAGTCTCATTTGAGATGTCTCAGAAGCTGAGTACCAAGACTGTAGATTTGTTTGAGGAAATCCAGGCTTTAGAGTCTATAGTCACTGTCAGAAAGATATGACTATTTACAATGTATGTTTTCCTTCCTGTAGAAAAGAAGAAACCTAAGAAAGAAGTGGTTGTGGTAAGTATTGCTGGCCTCAAAACATAACCCAGTTTTGCCCAGCTCCATCATAAAAACGATAGATGAGGACAAAAGGATTGCCCCAAATGCAAAACACTCCAGTGCCCCAGATGGCCTCTGTGTTTGCAGGCACCTCTCTGGGTGTCAGGGGCACTCACCTGGCCCCTTGCTTCCAAGTGCGGAATTCTCCAGCCTCTCTGGCAGCTCTGGATTTGGGACCAGAGAGGCTGTGCCTGGAGCAGTGACAAGGTGACTCACTGCAGCCACAGAGGCAGGATGACAAGTGCCCCAGCTTCATTGATGGCTGATGGCAACATTGTGCTGCTGAGACACCTCTGAGCTGTGCAGGGCCTGTCTGCCTGCAACCAGCCAGGCACACAAGTGTACTGCAAAGAGTTTGGCCTTCATAAGCTGCATGCAGCAAAATGATGTCTTCACTTCCACTGTAACAGATGTTTCTTTGCTCCCAGATCTTGAGGCTCCTTCCTTTTTCATAGTCCTAATAGCCTAAAGGCTGCAAGGCACCCTCATTAGTGTACATTCCCCCTCCCCCAAGTTCTTTTGAGAGGGGATTCCTGAGCCTCCTTCAGATGGAGGTGACCCTCTGGTGGTTACACATGTGGAGGCATTTAGCTTGTTAGACCTTCTTAATTCTCCTTGGACCATCCAGTGGCAACACCCTACACCACAAATGGCTTTTTTTGCCAGTTTTGATCAAACGCAGCCTAAAGAAACACTATATGAAGGTCCTACAAATCCACCTCCATCCATGTGGATCACTGTTTCCAAGTCACTGCTCCTTACTTTAACAAATTCACAGGATTCATTTCACATTTTGTGTCTCTTCACAGACAATGACAAAGCTAAACACTGTCTTTGATGGAGAAGCCAGAGACCCAGGTAATAAAAAGCAATTAACATTGGATATGAATATTTGGCTGGAAACAAACTAGATTAGTTGATTTAAATATGTTTTGACATTTGCTTTTCATATTTCATGTTTGCTGTTTCCAAGGAGAATGGGAGCTCTGTTTCACAGATAGTGAAACCCAAGACAGTGCCCCCTAGTAACATTTCTAATGGTAGAATATCCTGATGGCCCTTGAAAGCACGTGTGTGATGGCCAGATTATTCACCACTGCTCTGCTAAACCTACATGGACGGCTCTGGTATAGGAAGGTGGGAGGGAAGGCAGAATTTGCTGCAAGCCTCCTGCTCTGGGGATGTCATGGCTACATGGTTCCACTCTTCCCATGTCTGGGAACTGGCCAGAAGATTAATGTGGCTGCAGATCTACTGGTTTACTCTCTTAAACCTCTCCTTGGATGCAGGGTTGGTGGGTGAGTTCCTCGCTCCCATACAAACCTCCTCCCTCACAGCAACTTGAGCATTGCTTGTTGGGAAGGAAAGGGAAGACCATTTGCTTTCAGATACAGTTGTGGTGGTATCAGCTGAGTGTGTCACCAGAATCCAGCTGTGCTATCTCTGAGCACATCTGATGAACCAGCTGGGAAAAGTTAAATTAAGAAAAACCAGGATGACTACAAGGTGTAGTGCTTGTCCCCTTCCCCAGGTGGCAGCCACTGTTCTCTGCAGCAGGGTTCATGACAGAAATATATGTTTTTCCTAAAGGTTGATCCGCCTTACCTCATCCTTCTGAAACCCTGCCAGAGTCCTGCACCATGATGCCTGGGGGGCCTGGTAAAATGTGACAGTGAAAATAGGTCTTTAACAAATAGATCTGAAAATAGGTCCAAAACAATAGGTCTAAAAATTACCCAGAAGAAGGGAGGCTCGCTTCAAGGCTTGGATTTTTCTGGCCAAATTTCTACCCAAGTGCCTGTAGCTTGTGTTTCTTATTAGCTGGCTCAGAGCTGCTGAATGCTGTGAGCTAATGGGAAACACTAGGCACAGGGATACTTCAGTAGAGTTTGGGGGAACAAACGTGACCCCACTGCACCATTAAGCCCATCCACATGGCCGGTTTGGTCCAGATCCAAGCCCACTTGCTATTTATAAAGAAAGGGTGGGATGGGCTCCAAAGTCCCTGCTTTCTCCCTCTGTAACTGCATGTGAAATAGATTACACATAGGTATTCTCTAGGCTGCTGCACAAGCTGCTTCCCAGTGTTTTTGCAGGACAGGTGGTGCCTCCTTTCCTCAGCAAACCTGACCACCGCAGACTTACAGATCTCTGAGCCCACCCAAAACCAGAGCCACAGCATCTGTGTCACGCCTGACACAAACACGAAGCTACAACACAGCTTTGTGCTGTCAGCAGAGAAAACTGCTCCCTGCTCTTCCCCCCTCCCCTCCGTGGCTCATTCCAAACCTTAGAGGATCAAGTGCCGGCAGTTTGGAAATGAGATTTAATAGTTCCCAGGACATCTGTGAGTATGATTAGGAGGGATTGTCAGGAGCTGCTTCCTGATCTGGGCTGCTTTAACATGCCTGTCCGTGAGCAGTTGAAAAAAATGACATAAAGAGATCCAGTTTCATCTTTAATTGCTCAAATTGTGTTAATGTGTCAGAAACCATTAATTCTGATACAAAATATAACATGTAGTGACACCACCCTTTATTTTCAGACTTTAATGGTCTTTTTGTCTCACATTATTAATGTGAGACACACAAGAAGTGCCATGATAGGTCCTGATTCTCTGTCTGTTTAGCAAGAGACAGTGATTTAGACTGTGAGGCAACCACTCTGGATGCATGTCAATTTTTCCACCTATCTCTAGGTAATAAATGAACTGAAGAAGGTAAGTGCTTTTAATGTACAAGTAGTAATAATAATGAATAACACTACTATTAATAATAATATTAGTAATAATAATGTACAGGTAATGTACCCCTAACATCTGAAGAGGGCCAAAATATTTCTAACAAGAAAAGGTAGCTATAAGTGCTGAACAACCCACATTTAACAATATTTTATATATATGAGGGAAGCATGTACTTGCACAAACATGAAATAATATTTCACTCTCTTAATGACAATGTGCACAGCAAGCCTAGAGGAAAGCGTGTTGTGCACATGGAGAACCACTACATACAGCCAAAACTCGTTGGGGCTCCCAGATCTCCAAATATTCGGTCAACCTAGATGACCTGACATGGTCTGGAAGATGTATGTAGCATATGATGCTCCTAACAGGTTTTTCTACCTCCAGTAGGCAACTCTACTGGAAAAAATAGGCACAGGCACATAAAATGGCCTTACTCAGCATGGCCAAAAGCTTTGGGAATGTTAATCCTAACAACCAAGGACTTTGGCTGTGTTTGGCTGACCATGTTAATGCATGGTATCTGTAACTTGGATAGAAGTACACGGTGATAAGAAGGTCCCTTTATTTAGAATAGGAATGTTTTGAGTATTCATATTCCCAGAACTGTAGAGCCAGTTTTTATACTGATAGAACAGATTGTCCCCTGAGCAGCCACCACGATGCCCAGGTCCCCACACTCACTTGTGGGAATAAGACCTTCCCTCTCTGGGCTGCCTCCCTAACTCAGCTTATTTTCCAGGTCCTTCATGTTTCTCATTTGAACCCCATACTGAGGAGAACTGTCATGTCCTAATCTGCTAAAGCAGGAATTATTTTAATTAGTTGTCTTCTCTCCCTTGCAAGTTACTGGCAAAATGTATGAATTCAATACACGGTCGGGTGCCCGGAGGTGGAAGAAGAGCAATGAGCCCCTTCAGGCAGCACCAGCCACGCAGGTAACACCCAGTGCCACAGATGATAGTGGCCAAGGGACAGAGAGAGAAGAGGCACCAAGCAAAAAAGAGCCTTCAGAGAAGAGGAGAGAGCTGACTGCAGAGACAAAACCAGCTGCCAAGCCCCCAGCAGGGCAATCAGAAACACCAGGTCAGGATAGGCTGAGATTCCAAAAGCAGAAAGAAGAGACTGAGGACAGGGGGTTACCCTCACCAGCCCCCCAGGACAGATACTGACCTCCTCTCCCAAAATGAACACTGTGTTGCCATTAAGACAGCCTTAAAGCGAGTGCATGAGACTCCACGTAGCTTCCAAATGACCCCTGCTCTGAACAGCCACAGAATCAGATGTGGTTTTATATATATGTATCTCTCAGCTGCAAAACACAATGTGGCCATTGTTGGGTAAACTGGACCCAAAGGCAGGACGAAGCCAGACTCATCTTTGGCAGGTGCGGTAAGAGTGGGAGAGAAGGGGAGGACATGAAAGGGGAGAAGAGGAAATGAAAGCAGAGTCATGGACAGAAGCTGCTGCCCACTGCTCCAGGGCTACAGCCACTGGCAGTTGCCTCCTGGATAAGCTCTGAGCACCCAGGCTGAGACAGCCACATCCTCAGACTGCCTCTGGGGCAGTGTACACGTGGGCACTGTTCCTCTCCTGTCTGTGCTGAGCAGCAGAATGGGAGTAAAGCACATCTGGGTTGGAAAGTTGGCTGGTAAAAGAAAAAAATACTTTATTTTCTTCAGTATTTTACTTCAGCCCTTCTTTGCCCTCCCATCCTGCTGTAGAAAAGACCATTGCTTGAGAGCAGTTTTGGAGTGGAGAGAACCCACAGCTTGTTATGGTATCTCAGGCTGCCATGTCAACACTTTCAGCTTATCTTTTGCACACGAGCTGCACGTAATATCTTCACCTTTGGTGTTTCCTCTGACATATTTAATGCTTTACAGAATCAAGTGGAACGTACTCAGAAGAACAATGACAGTAAAAAATGGAGTGAAAAAAGCTTTTCTGACTGTGGGCATGTATAAGTGTTTTCTAAGAACTTGATATAACACATGCAAACCCTGCAAGATTTCAGGAAATTATTTTAATCTGAAGAAAACTAATTATAAATGATGACTTAATACTCCACATCTTGGCCTCTTTTTCTTTCCTGATTACAAATAATTTTTGTGGTGGCAATGGACTGCTTTCAGGTGGCAAAAGAAAACAGTTTAAGTTGAGCAGGGACAGTCAATGAAGATTTTATCCAATGTCACGTACAGTGTTTTTTGTCATACAACAGAGGACCTGGATGGAGAGGCTCAGGGTAATGTCACTAAGCTTCTTATGCTTTACAAAACCACTGTCATAGTGCTGCAACTCTTTCTTGTGCTCCAAAGGAGCAGTTTGGCTCAGGAACAATTTCCCTTACAAACACTTAATGCCTTCAGTCAAATACCATTTCACTGCACAATCAGAAACCCAGTGTGTCATGGACACCACAATGATAGAGACAGGAAAGAACTCACTAAGCATGTTATCAGTTTACTCTGTCTATTGTGGTTGTTAACAGTGTTGTTTGACTCTCCAGTACTAACAGGACTAGCCACAACTTCAGAGCTCCAACCCACCATTGTTTGCATTAGTTTGCTGTTAATTTAATATATTTCTATGCAGGTGGTTTTCCAGTGACATAGAGAAATTCTCTGGCAACTGCTAGTACTGCTGTAAATCCGATCTTTCTATCACTGACACCAACCTACCCACAGGCACACTTGGCAGCTACAAACATTAATGCTTAGTTACCTCAAGAAGTTAACAAGTTAACTGCATAGTTTTCATGACAGGAAGACACACAGGCTTTTATATTTTCTCCTGGATATTTCTCTAGGGCAGCCACTCTGCTTCCTCAATTCCTCTTGCTCTACTTTAGTGATTAAGAAATATTTATTTATTTATTAAGAAGAGGCAGAGGCAGGGTGTAGCTTCAGCCAGAAAACCTGGAAAGAGATGAATGAAAACTCATCTTTCTTTATGAAAGATGAGTTCCTGCTGCTGAAATGCACAAACTTCTTTCCATCATTCTAAGGAAAACTTACCCCAACAGCAGTGTAACAGAGTATCACAGCATGCTCTGAAGAGCCATGTATGCAAACACATTGTCACAGCCAACACTGCTGGTGCTGCAGCCCCACAGCTGGCCAACAGCTGGGTGAAAAGCAACTACCCTCGTAGTGGTGCTTGCACACTCTAAGCTCTGAACAACTGACAGCTCTGAAAATAGGATCTAAGAGCTACCAGATCTAAGAGCTAATGCTGCCCAGGATGCTTCCATCCAGTTAAGGTGATTTTTTTTTTTTTGGGGGGGGGGGTTTAGCCAAGGTAAGGGATCTTGTGAGTCCCATGCCACTTGCTGCCTGAGGAAACAAGAGTGCTGACCACAAAGCACAGGTACGTCCCTCCTTATTCATGCTTTTGCTTCAATATGTGCAGTGCTGAACTCCAGCTCAAATTAATTTTTCAACTTAATTTTAAGCCTTATTTTGGCCATGTACAGAACTACTTTCCTGCCTTGGGATCTACAAAATCAAGGAATAACAAGGTTTTATTGGGGCATCAGCTTTATGCAAAAACAGCAAAATTTTTCTATCAGCTGTCCCTACTACTCCTGACTTTCCTCCCTGCAAAGGAATAAAGAATGAACTCAGGTCTCACTGAGTTCAGGCACAGCCATTCATTTCTTTGGCTTGCCCTTGGTAGAGCAAAATCAGAGAAGACAGAACTGACCCAGATGTACACTTATGGCATATCGTATGGAACAATATATTAAGAAGATACCTTGGATATATGTGAAAGAAAAAGATATTGTTTTATAAAACAGATTATAATGCATGGTGCAGTATAGCTGTAAATGTTAGAAACCTCATCTAACTGCTAAACCAGCTTTTGTGCTTTTTTCATTCAGAAGTGCCTTGGAGAACACAGATTCAGTGTTGAAAACTGCCACTAGATGGATTGAGAGCAAGGACTAAGTGCAGACTCTAGACAATACAAACCTTTAATTATTAGAACAATTAGCTCAGACTGTGAGGCCTTTCCATCTTTGAAGACTTCAGAAGCCAAGAACAGCTGCTGTGTGCTGTACAGGGTCAGAACAGATGATGGGAACAGTCTTCAACAGCTGTGTTAGTCTCTGTGCATGTTGTTACAAGGTGTGAGCTTTGGTGCCATTTATTTTAGAGTTGATGACACTGCTAGATCAGCTGAAACTAGAAGAGAAAGTAAAGTGCCTGGTGGTTCAAGCAGCATGTCTGTGGGCAACGGTTCCTGACCCTCCAGCTGCCTGTTACATGTTAAGCATTAATTTTACCCAAAGTCTAAATAACGAAAAAAAATCAATCAATGTGGGTTCTGCCACAGCTTTGGATTGCTCTGTCTCCACCCATTACACATCTCTGAAGTGCTTTGAGACCTTTGGATGTACTTTGCTCTGAAAGTTTCAAGAGTGATCATAAAATAGCACAGGTTACCTCTGACTGGCTTAAGTTCCCCCAGTAGTTCATGTGTGATTCTGTTACTGGTTCTTGCTTTTCTCCAAAGTGAATGTACTTCTGCTGCATAGATGATCTGCCTTCAGGTTGGCATTACACACAGCACTTGATAAACATTAGAAGTCTCAGCTTCTGGACATCTGATTTTTTTTTTTGTCTCAAGGAATGTAATAGTGCTGATACTGTATTTGTTTATGGTCACCAAGAGACCTACACAGGAGAACAGTTCCAGTAATGGAGAATGTCTGCCCAGGAGGCTGACACTATGTGACTGCTTACTAGGAGCAGGAGACAGGGCTTGGACCCCCTCAGAAAAGGAGGGTCAGACAAGGTAAACAGTTCTCCTAAGCAAAGACTGGCTGCTAGGTTATTTTATGAGACCTGGATTGCAACACCACAATGGAAATAACATTTCAACAGCAAGCAACCCCAGCTGTAATTCCACATGACCTGGTTGATTCCTCAAACACAACAGGCCCTTTGCAAGGCTCGAGCTGAAGGGCTGAACACAGGCTTGGTGCCTGCTGGGCTTCACCCACACGTGCCATGTCTGAGCTAGTCACTGCAAGCTCCCCATGTAGTCACTGGGGAGAAAGAGACAGCTTGCAGGTGACTTACTGCATAGCAGACATCTGTCTAGAATAGATCAGATGAACTGTGCCCCAAAAGCAGCTCTTCCTGGCTGGCTAGATGAGATAGCAATGCCTACACACCAGACATGCAACGGCAGATCAGCCGAGTCTCAGCCCAGCTTGCCCAGGTCTGTGCCACTGCACCAGTGCCCAAGGAAGCTGAAAACCAGCAGGAAGCTGAGCACAGAGGTCAGCCTGGCTCTGCTGCAGCCTGCTCAGATCCCAAGAGGAGATGGGGCATCACTCATGCTTTGTTAGCACTCTGAGGTCTGGAGGCTGCTTTCTGGGACCTGCCTTTGGGGTCATTCCATATCTGGAAGAACATAACAAGATATGCTGGAAAGTAGCCATGTAGAAGAGCATGGTCCTGGCCAGGAGATTGAAGAAGACAAATATAAGATTCAGTGAGTTTCTTCAGCAAGCTTCATATTACTGACTGAGAAGCACACTTGAAAAAAAGAGATTAATAGATCTTATTCTGAATGTTATTCAGGGATGCCCCTACTCTGCAGTTCTCTGGTACCAAACTCCAGCTGTTGCAGGTCAACACACCCCCCTGGTATTTGACTTTGAGGCAAGGTGATTGCTTAGCTTCCAGGGCTTGACAAAAGCAGTTGGTGAATGACACGGGCAGGGCAAGGCTCAGTCCAGCCATGCAGTTGTGTCTGATTTTTAGTTCCTTCCTGCAGATACAAGCTGAGGCCATGCAGACAGAAGCAGCAGTGTGGTGTTTGCACAGGACCTGCCTGGATCAGCTCCAGCAGGCCCAGCACAGTCAGCCCTCACCTCACAGCACCCTGCAAGCCATGACAGCAGATTGTCCCAGAGGGGCTGCACATATCCCACTGCAATGAACCTCAGGGAGGGACTGTGAACTGGTGATCATGTAGGCAGCAGAGCTGGAGGGCCCACAAGCTGCTAGGTCTGCACATTTGGCAGAGCTCTGGACATGGCACCCGACAAGGGCCAGGCAGGCTGCCAGGACAACACATGCATGTCTGGCCACACAGGCCCCAGGGGAAGGAGAAGCAGGAGCATCCTCTTTGCTGGCCTGATCCCAGCTTGCTC